GGAGAATAAGGACAGGGGTGGGGGGGTGGGGGGGGGGGGGGGGAGGTTGGTGATAGTTTTTTAAAGTATTCTAAGTAAGGTTTTGTGAACATCTACTGGCTTGATCGGTGCGGGCTTTGTACTGCCTCCTGCGCCCGCTGTTTTATTTCATGAAGAAAACCAGATATCCTTTGAATAACAAATTAGTTCCATGAGTTTGTATGTTATGGCCTGAGGACTTGGTATGTTCATTGAAACAACGCCGTTTTCTAGGAACGATTTGGGGCTGTTGTAATCCACAGCTCTTACCCAGCGAGTCCTTGAGGACGTGAGTTAGCTTGCTCCGCCGGAAGGGGATGTGGTCCCTCTTAGGATCAGCCAGGGCAATGATGATTTGCTCAAGGAACGACAGAGACTTGTTGATGTACGTGGCTTCTTTCAGAACCTGTCCTTCCGACTGTAACGAAGATCAAAAGGCAAAGCTTCCACAACACGTGTTTCTGGCCGAACCGCAGAAGAGAGCATATTCCTTACTGCGGGTACAACTCTGTGTGGCTGCGAGGGTAAGGATCTAATTCAGACCCAATAAATTCCTGATCTAGAGCTTTCTTCAGTTCGAAAACAAGTTTTCAGAGACCTCAATTTTTCATTAGAAGTCTACCAGGACCACTGGCTTTCCTTCCCACAGGGTAAATTATGTATTTGTCACAGGGCTGATGCGATTTCTGTTCTGATCAATACACGGTGTCACGTGGGGCCTGAGGAGCTTTCAGCTGTTGAGCGCTAATGCTCTAAGAAAGTTTCAACAGTTTGCCTGCTGTGACCAGAAGTGGGGGATTTGCACCATCACCCATGGAACAAAGAGGAAAATCAGAGGTTCTTTGGCTTAATAGCTGATGGCTCTGGCCCTTTCTTTTGCGGAGAAATGACAGAGTCAGATAAACTACCTGAATCTGTGTCAGGCTGGAAGGCACATGCCTTAGAAATGGACTTAGAAATGCTACACAGCAGCCGCAAACAACCGAGCACCCTCTGATGTGTTAATGTGACTTTCAATTCGTCACGGTCTCTCCTATTTATCACGGGCTGAATTCTCTTGTGGGGAAAACCCATGATTTCACCTCCACCGTGTTGATTACTGGACTCTTCACCACGGACTGAAATATTTCTTCCGTTACTTACTCCAGTCTTGCTCAGTCTCTCTGAGCCTGCCAGATCTATTAAGTTGATTTTAGAGTGAACGCATTTGACATCTGAGAAAACTCTGAAACGAGACTGAGGGGGAAAAGAATATAAACTGTACTTAACAGTAGACAAAACTGAAATGCGGTAAAAAACAGACACGTAAAGATCCTCAGCCATTTGAGTCCCTAGAAAAACTGCTGGAGCTCTTACCTCAATATAAATAGTAAAGATGCAATGGGATCTGGATGAGTTTTTATTCAGTGTGTGCTCTGCTATCACTCTGTTGGTCTCACCCTGCAGATGAAGTCAAAAATGAAGACAGTGTTTTTAAACTTCTGCATTGGTAGAAGAAAGGATAAATAGAAACACGCTCAGTTAACTAAACCTCACTCTGCAGAGCCCGTAGCGCCGATCAGTTGGTTAGAGCAGCCAGAGCAGGAGCTCACCCTATTTGCCTCGTTTTCTTACTCAAAGGCCCCTCAAAGCCTTTCACGGTGCGGCTGGTAAAGGTCACTGTTTACTGTAATAATGCGTTTTACCGGAGACCACATTTCCACTTTCAAGGCTCAGCTCACAGATCTGTGGCTTTTTGAGGAACAGCCAGGCAAGCCTTGTTCAGAGGCAACACCTCCCTGGCTGTTTCAGTTTCTTGATGACTAGAAAACCAAAGAGCTCCTCAAGCTTTAAATGTCATAGAAAACTCACACAGATACGATAGCCACAAATTTGTGATGCCAACTTACAGGAAAAGAAAACAACATTGAAAATGATGTTGCAACTGCTCGTGAGGAGGGACAGTCTGTCACAGAGCCGTGCTGCCAGGCTGGCGAGGCAGAAGAGGAAACAGAAGGCTCTACAGCATAGAAACGCGCTCGTCGATGGGTTTCACGGCCAACCGGTCTGCCTGGGTCCCGAAGGACAACCACCACGCTAGGGAGTGTAAAGCCAAGAGCAAGAACGAAGGTGAAGATCTCTAGGTAAATACTCTCAACCCCACTCCACAGGTGAAGAACCGGAGTCACAGCGTAGTGGGCGGCCACCTGAAAGCCTGGAGCTTCCTCCGTGAAGCTAGAACCACAGGCAGAACTCATCTAAGGACCTGAATGGATCCCCAGGCATCACTTGCACTTCTTGTGTCCACAGATCTCAAGTTAAGCTGCGTTATCATCATCCTGCTGCTCTTTAAAAAGAAAATGGGAGCTCCTACGAATCACTGAGGCTGGCTTAGGACGCCACAGTCCCATTATTAAAAAGACAAGTGAAAGATTTTAAGGACACCAGCTGGCTCCTGGTAAGAATACGCTTCCTGCATACAAAAACAATTATTTATTCATGTTTTCCATCAACTAAAGCACCCACAAATAAAAGAAAGATGCAGACATAAGTAAGCAAACTCCCTTCACAAAGCTAAGCCATTGTGTGAACGTCCCTGCTGTAAAATCTGACTAACGGTACCTGTGCCACGACCGTCACAAACTCTCTGCCAAAGATATCACTGATAAGACTCTTTTCTTGGAGCATAGGACAGGCAGGTGTGTTTTTCAGGAAGAAATTCGAGTCTCAGTCAGCTGGTGGGACTAAAAGGATCCCAAATATCGTACGCTTTGTACCAAGTCACTCACTGACACCCTTATGTGATAACCAGGGTAATGAAAACGAGTCTTTTGGGCTGCCTGGGATCTCGGTCTGCTGAAGGGGCGGGTGAGGTGGCCGGGGAGATAAGCCTTGTGAAATGAAGGCAGATTCTCTGGCCGCCTTCGCTATTTCGGTGCTGCCTGGAATCTCCAATGCTACGACGTTCCGTGGTCTCGCCTCAACATAGTTCCTCCATCACTTGACTTCCTCTGGCGTACACTAAAAACAGGGTTTCTCCACAGAGATCTTCCAGAATCTCTGCGCCAGGGACATTTTCCGTGCAAGAACATGGGCTACAAAGAGTTACCAATTTTTCTGCCCACGATAAAGAGAGCAATGAGGGTTGAACCTCCCTCCAGATGTCCAGGCCACCCTCCTCCTGCTTTACTGCCTCCTCCCTCAGCTAAGCCAATAAATATAACAATCAGATGAAGTGTAATATTTGGGTTTTCTTGCCTCAAAAAGGAGATTCAGAGCATCTTCCTCGTGGCTAACTGAATGTATAGATAAGCCCTTCACATAAACACCCTGTGGGCAATCCACTACAGCCATCTGCGTGTCGGCGGTCCCATTGCTTGTCACGGTGGACAGAAGGTCAGACAAGGTCTCGTTGTAGATTTCCAGGTAGGATATTCGGACAGTGACGGACGGATCAACAGAATCTGCAGTTGCTTTGAAGACCTACGCAAAGACAAAGAGTTTGTCGGTGGCAGCGCTAGTTCACAAACAGAATTATTAGCTATTTATGGCTTTCCAGAGAAGCTATTTGTAACTTTCTGAGCAGCTATGAGTGCATCTGCGTGCGCATCGCTAATTCTGCGCTTCGGTTGCCTGAGGGCTGACGGGGCTAAGTCAACAGTTTTAACATGATTTCTCAGAACGATAGTTTTGCAAACACCACTTTGGAAGGCCTGCTTCCATTGGGGAAGCAGCAAGTCCTTTACGTGAGCTAGTAGAGTTAAACAGGACCAACCTCTGGAAATGACAAGAAAGCGTAACTACTGAATTCCTCCCATCTTCGTTTCAGGCTGTCTGCGTTATGTCAGCCCCACACCGTGCCTGGGAGTTGTCTTTGTGGGGGTGGAGAGCGTTCTGCGGTATCGCTGCCTAAAGAGAAGCAGACCTGCACTCTCTAAGCAGTGGCAAACGTGTGCCTCCGGGCGGGAACGTGTCTGTACAGCGACAGGACCGACAAAGCCGCATGTTTCAAGCCAACACCATCCCAATGCTCCGAAACGTCACCGTTATCGGTGCACAAGGTCATGGTGTAGTAAAACAAAGGTACAAAGTAACTATGTTTTACAGGCTCCTTTATTTCTTTAATGATCATCACTTAGATAAAATGGGGAAAAAAAAGGACTGGTGAAGATGAAAACATATTCACCGCATCAAAACACTTTCATGAGTATCAGCAACAGCCGATACAAGAGACATCTTTGTTATTTCTTCCAGCCTCTTTCCTATTCGGATCCGGTACCTGCTGGATAGCTCGGGGTATGATTCCTCGATGCTTGTACTCGGCAGTTGCTCCCGTCATCGTGTAAGTTTTACCAGCCCCCGTTTGCCCATAGCACATGATCGTCCCTAGAAAAGATTCAAAAGCAAAAGAAGAAACTCGGGAGGGAACCTCTGCGTTTCTCAGATGGATCTCTCCCTCAGATCAAATCTCCGCTTATTGTCAAAATAATAAAAATAGCAACAAATTACCATTGTAGCCAATTAAAGCGTCGGACACCAATTTCTTAGCCACCGTCTCGTAAGCCAGTTCCTGGGAGGTATTGTGAAGGACGCCATCCAGCCTGAAGGACCAGTCAGTCTGCCTGTTATTCACAACTCCTTTCTTGGCATCTTTTTTGATGTATATATCTATGCTCTGAAACCCCAAAAAAAGATGCAGATAACTTCAACGAAGAGTTTCAGCTCTTATTGACTGAAAAAAACCACCCACAGAAGACCTGAAGGTAAGTAGAAAACGAGGCGCAAGTAATGGTATCGGTTTAGTGACCCTGATGGTCTTTTCTGGTAATAGATATTCTCAAAAAAGGAAACGTGGCTAAGCTCATCTCTACACCTTTCGGTCTTGTGTCTGATTTTGTGTCCCAGGGCAATTATTAATGAAGCAAGAGAAGTGAAGGGAGGAATTTGCATAAGGGGGGACAGGAATAGTGTACCACAGGGAGACCTCTTAGGTTGGAACCGTGGTTCCCACAGGGAATTCCTCAAGGATCAGTCAGAGACCCCGTGCGTTTGAGGATTTCCCCTAGTGACTGTACCACAAGAAGTACGTTTTCCATGGTCGCACTGGCTGATACAAAACCACGAGCCACTGTCAGCGCAGAGGAGAAGAGCAAGCAGGAAAACGTGAATCAACGTGCACCAAAATGTTATGCGGGGCCTTAAGGAATGGAAGGATTCTGCATTTCTGTGGGCAAAACGGAAATCAAATTCCAAACCTTTCACACTTGCAATCTCTTTTTCTCTACCTTGTTGTCTGGCCCAAACTTGATCATGTCTTGAGCAAAATCAGCTGTTGGCTTGACTCGCACAAATGTATGGACTCTCTTTTCTACTGCATCCATTCTAACTAGAGAGGAAAAAAAAGGAAAAATCAACAACGTCGCGTTCCCTAAAATGAAATGTAATGTTTGTCTTGAAAAGGCAAGCTACGCAGTAGTCAAGTTTAAAAATAAAGCGTTGACAAATGTTCAGCTGCAGTTTCTATTCTTTATTAAAAGCAACTGTGGGCAAACAGTTGCTGAAAATTCTTTCCAGCATTGTTCTGCTCAGAAAACTGAGCATGTGAAAAGGGAAGGGTCTTACTGATCGTGATTTCCTCTTGCGTATCAGGCACATTAGTGTTTCACAACACAAGCTTTTCTCCCTCTTAGCCTTGCAAAGCAAAATAATTGCAGGAATATGAGACGGATTTTCTTTTGTCTGGTGTTTTCTGCGTGTGAAGGCACACACAGCCTCCTGGTTTGTAATGTCAGTTCAGGCAGAGCTGCGTTTCTAGCTTCTGAGGCTTTAAGTAAGCCCTGCTATAGGTGAAACCAAGCCTAAAGGAGCTCAACAGCACCGCAAAAGGGTGTGCAGTCAGTCGGTACGCCAACATTTCCAACGCTCTGAGCAGCAATCACCTTGTTTATAGTCTGTGTTGAATATGCATTTCCCATACCTTTGTATCCCCTTCTTCATACTGATACACAACAATATTTTTAAGTTCCTAATGAAGACCTGATCTTAAAGTTTCCAGAATTAAAAAAGTCATGTGTCTGGTGAAATTCTTGTGTTGTTCTTCTGGTCAATGCAAACTCAGTAAGTGGCTGTCGATATCCAGCAAGGCTAGAGGATCTGCTGACTAAAATCCACGAAGGAGGGCTCAGGGCATGGGTCCAGCTGCTAACGCCCCACTAAGAAACACGCACTGAGTATTTTTAAATCCCTACAACATGCAGATCATGTTTTCTCTTGATCGTTTCCTACAGACAGCCTGTGCTCAACAGAATCATAGAATCGTTTAGGTTGGAAAAGCCCTTTAAGATCCTCAAGTCCAACCGTAACCCAGCGCTGCCAAGGCCACCACTAAACCATGTCCCCAAGCACCACATCTCCCTGGCTTTTCAATCCCTCCAGGGATGGGGACTCAGCCCCTGCCCTGGGCAGCCTGGGCCAGGGCCTGACAGCCCTTTCGGGGAAGGAACTTTCCCTAATACCCAACCTAACCCTGCCCTGGCGCAGCTTGAGGCCGTTCCCTCTCGTCCCATCGCTTGTTCCTGGGGAGAAGAGACCGACCCCCCCGGCTCCAGCCTCCTTTCAGGCAGTTGCAGAGAGCGATGAGGGCTCCCCTCAGCCTCCTCCTCTCCAGGCTGAGCCCCCCCAGCTCCCCCAGCCGCTCCTCCCCAGCCTTGGGCTCCAGCCCCTGCCCCAGCCTCGCTGCCCTGCTCTGGCCACGCTCCGGCCCCTCCATTGCCTTCTTGGGGTGAGGGGCCCAGCGCTGAGCACATAGTTGTGTAATATCTAGCGACAACTTCTAGTTTCAGACTAGATCTTTTGTATCCCTTGTATATGAAGTATTTTTATTCACCTTATCTGCTGTGACTGCTCTAAAAAGAAACGTAGAGATGTGAGCTGAACCAAGACTTCTCTTTATTTAAAATAGAGGTCAGCATTTGAATGACTACCTGGTAAAGGTACCGTGGGCGCCTTGTCCTTCTCCTAGATTACCGCAGCGACGCCAACACAATGCCCGCTGTAGAATCCAGAATGGTGCTAGGTTACCGTGACCATAATCTCTTCAGTACCGGAGACAGCCTTCAAATAAATGATCTGTGGAAAAGCATGGTGATAAAGAAGCGCACAGACATCACCATAAGGATCACCGCTAAGTGACGCGCGCAAAAAGCTGCCAAAATACTTGCCAGCAGTGCATAAGTAAAGGCAGGAGCAGCACAGGTACGAGCGAAATGGAAGCGGACACGGAGTTTTAAAGTTGGGAACCAGTGTGGAAATGCTACTCATCTGGTTATCGGGATTGTTAGAGATCACAACGCTCTGCTCCACAAATATAACCCAGCGTTGGAGGGGGGTGTGCTTTATTTAGCGTCATAGAATCATTTAGGCTGGAAAAGACCTGAGTCCAACCGTTCACCTAATTTCTGCAAAGCTGCAGCAAGAAGCACAGCAGGAAAATGAGCAAGGAAAAATTTTAGGCAAAAATACAAATCAGAGAGAGGGAGAACAAATTCAGAACGAGTGGCATTTTCCTCACTGCAACAATGCCCGTTGTTCAGTGTCAGGACAAAAGCAATTCCTCCTGGGAGTATTTACTGACATTGGAAGATGGGAAGGAAACAGGGAAACACCTCTCTGGCAGACTCCTGGCCAACAGCGCGGCGGCCAAAAGTTCTCCAGCTCATTAGCAATACCCAAGTATCCAACCAATCTGATTTTTAATTGGGTTTTCTCTCTGCAGTGGAATTTTTATTGAGGTACTATGAAGAAAACTACATGTTTATTGGTCAGCTAACCAAAAATGTTTCTGGCTGTTTCACCACTGAATTGTCCTCCTCTGGTTCGAACCAGAAATGTTGAAAGGACGAGAGCGAGCCTTGCCGTTACCTTCCCCCGTCATTCAGCGCCGGTAGCACAAACTGAGCAAGCAAAGCAAATAGCTCACAACTCAGGCCAGTGGTTTTGAAGCTCGTTATGACAAGTTGCCAAACCCAAGCTCCTTGGTCCCTCCTCCTACAGCAGCTGAAGGCAGCAGGACTCCCCCATTAGTTAGTCTCAAGACTAACGGACTGTTTATGCTCGGAATTAATGGAACCAGAGTTACCTCTGCAATGGAGGCAGATGCCAATGTGCCCACACAAAGCTTAGTGCCAAAGGGAAATTTTAGAGGAGGATTTTGGGGCCGAATGGCACAGAAACGTGTACCCAGAGCAGTGAAGCGTGGGTTTGGGTTTTGCCTGAGAGAGACCTGAGCTTATCCACCACAGATGGACAAAGGCTTGGGCCAAATCATAGAATCATGGAGTAGAATCACAGAATGGTTTGGGTGGGAAGGGACCTTCCAAGGCCACCCAGTCCCACCCCTGCCACCGGGCGCGCCAACCCCTGCCACGGGCAGGGACATCTCCAACCACATCAGGTTGCTCAGAGCCCCGTCCAGCCTGGCCTTGAGTGTTTCCAGGGATGGGGCATCTCCCACCTCTCTGGGCAACCTGGGCCAGTGTCTCACCACCCTCAGCATAAACAATTTCTTCCTTATATCCAGTCTGAATCTCACCTCTTTCAGTTTAAAACCATTCCCCCTTGTCCTAAGACGAGAGGTTAACTGGGGAGGCAAAGCTGCTTTGGGGAGGTGACCATGAGCATGACACAGAGGATGCACCGATAACGGGGACCGAGGAGAGATGGCAGAAGAGGAGGGATGAGGGCGTGAGGATGGCCGGGATAGCAGGGAGCACAGGGAGTGCCATGGACGGCCATGCCCACAGCCCCGCTGGCCAGGCGAAGGAGGGTGATCTGAGAGGGGGCTGGGGCGGAGGGAGGCTGCGGGACAGGGGCAGGATCATCCGTGTTTTAGCAGACCTTGGTGGGGTGGAGATGATGGGGAGACAAGGACTGAGGAGGGAAACGACATCTTGAGGAGGTGAGGCTGGTGGGGTGGCGAGGGGCAGAGCGAGGCCCATGGAGACGTCGCCTGAGGTGGGGGGACAAAGGCTGGGGGAGGAGGGGACAAGGCCTCAAGAAGGGGCAAGAGCCTGAGGAGGGGGACAAGGCCTTGAGGAGGGGGACGAGGCCTTGAGGAAGGGACGAGACCCTGAGGAGGCGACGAGGCCTCAAGGAGGAGGATGAGAATTGGGGAGGGGAATGAGACTTTGAGGAGGGGACGAGGCCTGGGGGAGGGGGACAAGGCCTGAGGAGGGGATGAGACCCTGAGGAGGGGACGAAACCCTGAGGAGGGGACGAGACCTTGAGGAGGGGACGAGGCCTGAGGAGGGGATGAGGCCTGGAGGAGGGGAACAAGAGCCTGAGAAGGGGAACAAGGCCTCGAGGAGGGGACAAGACCCTGAGGAGGGGACAAGACCCTGAGGAGGGGACGAGACCCTGAGGAGGGGGACAAAGCCTGGAGAAGGAGACGGGGCCTGAGGAGAGGACGGGGCCTGTGGGGCTGATGCAGCCTGCGAGGACACCACTGCCGGGGGAGGCGGGGGGCGAGGAGGCCCTGAGG